TCATCGATCTTAACTGCTTGTGATCGATTTGAAAGATAATTTTTCATCATCTCACAGGCACTATTAGTGAACCCAATATAATGTAAAATCGCTAATAGCAACCGGTGATTGATACGATCAAACGCTTTAGAATAGTCCAACAGTACAAGTATTGATAATTAATTCTCATCAATGGCAGTGAATAGGTCATCAGTTACCTTCAAAAGTGCTGAAGAGCAATTATAGTTTGGCCTAAACCCTGATTGATTTGCAGGACTTTTTCAAGTAACTTTGACATAACAGGCAATATACTAATAGGCCGCAGATCTTTCAGTTCCCTTGGACTTTTCACCTTAGGAAATGGTAGCACGTGTGCTACTTTCCACTCGTCGGGAAAATATGATTGCTCAACACATGCATTTATAATGTGGGTCAAATAATAGTTATTCATGTAATAAGGATCATAAAGACGATCATTTTGGTACAAGTCGTGAATGTTATCACACGATAACACGGCGTGTGCCATAATGATTGTTTATGATTCGTATTACATACAAAATTTTATCTGATGGCATTTATATCAATACATTTTTGAAAAATTAAAAACTGCATTTTCGACATGTCACAATGACAACTATTTTTAAAGGAGTAAGTATTGTGTAGTTTCAAATATTAGTAGGTGAGTGAGCTGTGCTTTGCCATTATATTAATATTACAAATTGTAGTAATTGTTCTTTTACCATATATAATAAATAGTTTTGTACATAGTTATGCATTTTGAATAAACTTTTTTGATCAAACCATTACATGTTTTCCTTATAGAATTTCATTATGGTACTTAGTCCCATAATGAGCTTCCTTATGTCGTCAAAATTGAGTGACATAACGTTGTCATTATGACATGCCATCAGATAAATAAATATATATGGGCAACAGAATAGTAACATTTTCAGATTTATATTATCAGCTCCTTTGGCATTAGACTTTATAGTGAGAAATTGCTCTTTCACTGTTTTTATGCTTACTGTTTTGGAATAAAATGTGCCTGAGCCGGGCCTAATGTTGTTATCATAGAAATGGAATGCATTTTCACTGGGCAGATTATTCTGTTGAGAGGCGCTTACAAAATATTCAGTAATTTCATCTCTATCAGATAGCTTAGGAGGTAAGGTGAAATTATTTTTTTTGTGCTTAAAGTTTAGGTTATTCAAGGTTTTCCACATGATTTTGGAATTTTTATCAACGCGAACGGTATTTTGAAAATAAGCTTTCCAAATGAACAACACGGTTTTCGAAAAGGGAAATCTACGACCACTGCTACTGTTGAATTTTATAATAAAGTTCTAGATGAGTAAGAACATAAAAAAGATGCCCAGTGGGAATCTTCTGTGACCTCAGCAGAGCATTTGATTGCGTCCATCATGATCATCTCCTGAGCAAACTTTGGACCTATGGAATACGTGATACAGTCGCAAACTGGTTTAAATCTCACATCTCTGATAGAAGTCGATGTGTTGAGATTAAAGCTACCAATAAAGACGGTACAGTAGTCTCTGAACAATCAAACACCACAGAACTCATAATGGGGGTTCCCCAAGGCAGTGTTCTAGCACCTATGCTCTTCTCCCTTTATATTGCTGACCTAATTGATTATCTCCTAGGGCATATATTATGATCACTCTCTATGCTGATGATTCCTCCTTCTTGATCTCAAACGAATCCAACTGTCAGAATGAACAAGAATGCAATTCACTGCTTGCGAAAATGTACACATGGTTCTCGGCAAACCAGTTATATCTAAACCTCAGTAAAACGAATTTTTTCATATTCCATACTAAACAAAGGACAGTTGACCCACTGACATTACATTTAAACCTCTCTAATCTTGAACGAGTAGATACCATAAAATTTTTAGGAATAACACTACATGAATCACTGGACTGGCATGAACATTCAAACTGCCTAATGAAAGTGAGGAATTCCAGAATTCATCAACTTAGATGCAAGCGCAAAGTCATAGATATCGATAGCCTCCGGATGTTCTACTTTGCCGAAATACAATCACGTTTAATATATGGCATAATTCTGTGGGGTACATCCCCAGTCTTCAAAGATCTCTTCTTGACCCAGAAAAAAGTGTTTCAAACCATCCTCAATAAGCCAAGGTCTCACACCTGCAAGCCACTGTTCATACAACTTAACATTCTACCTCTAGCTTGTCTGTATATACTCGAGGTTGCCTGCTATATATACCTCAATAGAAATAATCTAATTGCACACTCTGACATACACTCCTATTCAACAAGGAATAACAACTTACTTTAACCACCTAAAAACACCTCACAACGAACCTACATTGGCCCTACAAACATGGGTATCAAAATTTTCAACAATTTGCCAGGAAGTGTCAGAGATTGTACCACTCACCTCAAATTTAGGAATAGCCTGAAAGCTCTCCTCACTAAACATATGTTTCACTCATTTAGTGAGTTCTTTGACTGTTTCATGAACTGATTTTATTTTTTGTTTCTTCATGTAAATGTGATGTATTTTATCCAAATGTTTGTAAAACTCATATTATTTGAGATTGTAATATTGTATTGTATTCACTTTATCTATAACCATGACGAATTGTACACAAAATTTCTTGTCGATCATAATAAACTGATATTATTATTATCATTATTAATAAATATCAAACAAGTAGGAAGAATATTCGGAAAGTTAATAATCAATAATCATCAATTATCAGACAGAAAACATGTTTTTATTGAATAATGATTAAATAATCGATAACTATTGCAACAATCAAGAAAACAAAAAAAGAGAACGAGAATAATGGTGGTATCAATCGAGCAAATGCTCGAAATGTCTCCCATCATTCTCCAAACATAAACGAGCTCTTTTAACGCAGTGGAATCGTATTTTCTGAAATATTCCTGGAATACTGCGAAACTTATCAGCTGCTGTGAAAATTCTTAGCTCTTCCACTGTATTGATAACTATTGAATGAACTCCATTTTTCATGAATCCCCAGAAACAAAAGTCCAATGGCGTCAAATCTGAAGAACGCGGAGGCCAATGCACTGGTGCATTCCCACCACTTCCAATCCACCGGTCGGCGAATCTATCGCATAACCAAATTTTCACCTCGCGACTGAAGTGTGGTGGTGCGTCATCCTGTTGGAACCACATTTCGTTTCTAGTCTCAAATTAACGTCTTCTAAGAGTCCTGGTGAATTATTTCTCGAAAAGTTCAAATACTCAATTCCTGTCAAGCGGTTCGGTGAAAAAAAATGGCCCAAGTAGATTGTCATCTAGAATCCCATCCCAAACATTCACTTTGGGACTCCTTTGGTGGTGAATTGGCATGATGGCTCTTGGATTCTCAACTGACCACTGATGAGCATTATGCAAGTTCATGATTCCGTTCCTCGTGAACATAATTTTTCGTATAAAAGGAACATCTTCATTGTGTTGCATCAGAAACCAACGACAATAATCTATTTTAAGTTGAAAATCACCTGGAAGAAGCTCTCGCACTTTCCTTATGCTGAATGGATGGAGTAATTGTTCCTTAAGGATTCTCCAGACTAAAGTTTTTGACAATCCTGTCTCACTAGCAAGTTGTCTACAACTCATTTCTGGGCGTTGATCAATGATTTTGGTCTTCTTGCTCTACAGTTTGCACAAATCGCTGCCTACCAGATCCTCGTCTCCTCACCACCCAGTCCCAGTCTCTCTCATCCTCCGATCAATGGCAATAAAGGTCCTGGAATCAGGTGTTCGTCTCTGTGGTAATCTGCCAGCATACATTCGAACAGCTTTTGCTGAATTCCTATCGCACTCCTCCAGAATGAGATGCATGTCTGCCACTTCGTTGTCAGAATAATGTTGGTGGTCTTGATCAGCCATTATTATTTGATATTTTTTCACAGGTCACACTGATAATTGAACAATCAACTACAATGATTAGGCTGACAGTGACATATGGGATGAAAATAATGATAATAATGAAACTAGACAATAACTGATATTCTTCGTTTTCGTACATTTTTTGTACGAACCGCTTGATGGGTATCTCACTGAGCAATTATTGAGCAGAAAAAGTAGTTGAAATTATATGATATCTGTGCCCCCGAACCCTCGATAGAACGGAAAAAACCTGCAAACGAATTTGATTGTTAGCAGGAGGTGCAAACTAAAATCGACCGAGATTTTTTCGTATCTACGCTATTATCACCCAAAATCTTCCTGTCATGTTGAAAATCGGCCATCCTGTATGATGAAAAGGTTATCAAATAATTAACATGAATACGTGACCAAAATATCAATATAAAGGAGAAAGAAACCTGCAGAACACAATAACTCTGATATCTTGGACTATGGATAATATGGAGGTACTCCGAAAGAATTTTTTCAGATATCTCGTAATCCAAGCAAAATTCAAAAAAAAAATGTGGTTAGAAAAAAGATAGATACATGATTCTGTTATCCAAGTAGATACTACAATATGGTCAGTGGCGTACTCAAAAAAAGTTCTATGGATTTTCTAAAATCAGAATGCTAAATTTGTATCTCCCTGTATATCGATTGCACTGATGAGACATGTTATACAAATATGACGTGATCGCTATATCAGTAAAAGCCTACTCAATTCAATTGAACAGTTGAGCCGAATATTCCAGTTTGTGAAGCGTTGTTTCTCAAAAGAATTTTTGTGCAGTTGAATTATTATATTTATTCATTCATGAGTCTTGGATTTTCGTTATTTTGCAACTTTGAAATAGGCGATTTTGGATGAAAAGTTTCAATGATTCATTATTTCTGAATCCTATTGACAAAAATTCGTCAAGTTTGAGAACACCTGGTTGATTCTAATTGTGAGAAGTCAATTCAAAGAGTGACAAATATTATATATCAATTTTTCATATCCAGTGGAAAACTCTATAGTGCTTCTACTTCAATATTTGAATTTGAAATCGAGTGTTTTTATCATGAAGTTTTCCTCATTCACTTACTAGGATCATTGGATGTGGTACAGTTATTTCTTCTTGTCCTGTCTTACAACCTGGCCATCGCTTCTTCAGAAAAGTATCTTTCGGATTATAAGATATTGTGTCATTTATTTCCACGTCTTCAACGTTCATCTTTTCTTTCCATTCCCTACGAAAACCATGCTATTAGAATGAGTTTCGAAATCAGAAATAAACTGTCATTTGTTTTGAAAAAAATACAAGTGAAGCAGCAACTGATTACTTAATAAGAAATTTCATGGCTATAGTTGTTGGTAAATCTAATTCGGCAGGCAGTATCATAATGTATCACTCATGATCAATCACGGTAGTTTGCAGTCAATGAACGACTTTGATTTTGTACAAATTATATCTCTCATTTTGATATTGACAGACTTTTTGTTTCAAGAGATAATCTCTTGGTGGTGATTCATTGAATCTGAGACAGTATATTCAGGATGGATGGTATGTCTTCACACAAAGTCTGTCATTTTCATTGAATCTTGCATCTATGTATATCTATAGGTATACAAATATGAAGTATATTTCATTGCAGGGTTGGTTGTCCCGAAATTACTCAGAAAGATTTCAACCACAGATTCTGAGGACAAAAATAGTAAAAAAAGTTTATATAAACATGCGTCTAGAAATAGCCTGCATGGGGGATATTGAAATTTCAACATCTCCACTCGAAAATGGTACCTACTCCTGTTTAGTTTTTGAAAGCATTTACCATCGAATCAATTTCAGAAGTCTGCTGCTCTTTCTATAAAAATAAGGTACAGATGTTTTCAAGAAAATATGATTTGATGAAGAATACCCCATTTGTTTACATCTACTTTTGATGATTGATTTGAAAAATGAATATATGGTAGGTACCCTGTCGAGTACAATCGAATCTGAACATGAATACAAATCTCGTGAACGCTTCTGTGTTGGCAACCACATTTTTATCTGAGTGAAGACTGCTATGTTTGTTTGTGGGGGCACAATCATTTTTTGATACCCTGTGAATTTGTTGAAGACATGTGTATTGGTTGCTACGGTTTACTGTTTCATGATTTTTGTGGACGACTTTCGCAATGACATCCATAATTTTCTTTGTACCGTTATTGACTGAGATGTATGATTTTTCAATATAGCAAACATTATTCTCACATAAATGATATCTCCCAATGGTTCTTCATTAGTTGACTTCGGTGATCCTTTTTCCCTGCCCATGCAACACATCACCTACCTAACACACCCATGCCAAATTGCCAAGAATCAATTTCTGAAAACTCAATGAACCGATATTGTTACAAGATGAATTGATATCATTCTTAATCTTCTTTTGGATAATGAATCTCAGGAGGTGTGATAGCCTCACGATTGAGCGTTAGTCCGGTGGCCCGGAGTTCGATTCCCAGCGCAGAGACTTCTTTCAATTAACCGAGTGACCAACATGTGTGACCAGGTAGCGATTTTACTAAATATAAACTATTGCAGCACAAGACACGCCCCCTACTACGGCATTGCAAGATATAATCGAGCCCAGCACAATCCTGCAAAATCTAATCTTTGACAGCACAACGTAGCTGATTCATATAAATAAATCGATTGAAAAAGTAGCACATACCACGTTATATCTCATCTTCAAAGTACTTTACTTAGGCAAAACTCAGAGACTATTTATCCTCAACGAACTAACCTATCCCTGATTGCAATATTTTTCAGGAAGGAAAACCGAATGGAGTGTAGAAACACATTGATTAATAATATATTTCGAAAGTTGAGTTCTTCAACAAAATTGAATAAAATGAGACTGTTTATCCTAAACGCACTAACCTATTTGACTTCAAATATTTTATGAAAAAGGAAAACCAGAATGAAGTAAACAAGACACGCCCCCTACTACGGCATTGCAAAATATAATCGAGCCCAGCACAATCCTGCAAAATCTAATCTTTGACAGCACAACATAGCTGATTCATATAAATAAATCGATTGAAAAAGTAGCACATACCACGTTATATCTCATCTTCAAAGTACTTTAAGGCAAAACTCAGAGACTATTTATCCTCAACGAACTAACCTATCCCTGATTGCAATATTTTTGAGGAAGGAAAACCGAATGGAGTGTAGAAACACATTGATTAATAATATATTTCAAAAGTTGAGTTCTTCAACAAAATTGAATAAAATGAGACTGTTTATCCTAAACGCACTAACCTATTTGACTTCAAATATTTTATGAAAAAGGAAAACCAGAATGAAGTAAAAAAACATTGGTGAAAAAAAAAAGTTGCAAAAAAAAGTTCGAGTTCACAGCGATTCGAACCATGAACCTTCAGACTGAGAGTCGACAGCGCTAACCAGTAGACGTACAAGAGATTGACAACGAGAAAGCTTCAGTTCTTGCGTTGGAGCACAGTATGAGATATGACGTATTATGGTGGGCGTGTCTTGTGCTGCAATAGTTTATATTTAGTAAAATCGCGACCAGGTATGCACTAGAATACATTTCGCCGATACTTTTGACCATCCTATTTCCAGACGCGGTACAATTATTATAGTTATACTGCTTGTATAACATGATGATCCTAAGGCCTGTTTAGCTAAAAAAAATCATGAAATATGTGAACTCACTCATAACAAAATGGACCCACTTCCTTCAGTATTGGAATCTCTCCCATTTGTATTCTCTCTGGATTTGTTACATTGAAAATGTATATCCGAAATGTCAGTGCGAAGGGTACCTTCAGGAACATGCCTCTTATGTCAGTACCCGGTCCCAAATTTATCATCTGTAAAAATATAATAACCTATTGCTATTGTTTTACATTCTATTTCACCATCTATAGAACTCATCTACATTCACTTCTTTTCAAGGTATAAAGTGTGTTTTTTTACCAAGGTAGTTTTGTCATTTCATAAGCTATTAGTCAATAAAGACATAGCCACCCATTTAGTTATTTATTGATAAAGACTTTTCATTATGCTTTCATGGTAATGATTCGAATTAGAGGCAAGATATGTTTTATTATTAGGCCAATTATTCCATATTTATATTTTCGCAGGACTATAATGATTGAAATACAGGGTATTTTATAGTTGTGGAAGGATTCCTCTTAGCAAAATATAATGCAAAGTACATATGAACATGGGCCGAAAATGCTTCGTTTCCGCGATGTATTTCGTGTCCAAGTTTGGAAAAACAGAGTTTTCCATAAATATCTAGAAGAAATATTTCCTACAAATTTGAAGATCGTATACATTTCAGAAATTGAATACTCTCAATTTCATGCCATTCTCATTTCCACAAATAATAATATGCAATAAATGTGCGGATATTATCAAAGCATTTTTATTTTGCCATATGAAATTCGGAGACATGGCGATTTATGGAATTGTCCGTTTTTCTGGAAAACTAAACAAGTTACGGAAATAGCAAGAGACAAAAATTTTGTATTTCTGGTTGGTTTAACCGAATATTCAGGAACCCGGAAAATAAACAGGGGGGAACTTTTTTGCCGACTTGCTTGCTCCATGGGTACATCTATGGAAATACTGAATCAATTCTAATTGGTCCATTGAATAAGTGATAATTGTTTTGATAAACCATGAAAATGTCATTCAATTCGGCTTGAACGTTTTCAAGGTAATAGTGGAAAAATTTTATGTTTAAACTTGGGCACTCGATCTGTATCTCGGAAACGAATCATTTTCATGTCCACGTTCTTTTGTCACCACAACTCTGGAACACCCTGTATATTGCTAGTGGTGAAAACATGTATTAGGTACGACTGGACCTTACACTCCTCGGCTGAAACCTCGGGTAATAATCTCTTGAAATTAATTCATATTTGCTCGTTTCCTTTTTATGTGTATATTTTTATTTCCCTGGGTATTAGGAAATTCTGGAATTCCTCACTAACTTGGTCTATAAATAACTATTTTTCACCACTAGCTAGCGAATCTTTCATTATTTGCTCCTTCTCGAGGCGTGAATTGTGTTATAATTACTCGAATTCACTGTTCTAATGCGAAATTCAGGCATATGCTGTCATGTCCATGGCTTCTAGATTTCAAAAAGAATTAAAAAGGGGTGCTTTCATGAAGAAAATAGGTCCATATTTCAGGTCAATAGATTCACGGTGAAAAACAAAATTAATAAAATCAACAAGTCTGTCGACCACAAATTATATTGATGAAATCATATAGTTATGATATGACTAGTTTTGGCTCAACAGCCATATGCAGACACACAAAAAATCTGTGAAGAGTGGAAAATTACAAACAGAAATAATGATGGAACGATACTGTGGCCAGCGTAGCCTTGTGGTTATAGCGTCAATGTTCTATCCACGTTGGATTGCCGGTAAGTGGGTTCAATTCCCATTCACCGCAGAAATTTTTCTGATGGCTTAAGGAAGTGTTTGGGATCACACGTTGATATGTAATACCCCTGTCATTCCTTGCTCGCACAAGTCTCTTGAAGACTTCTGAGGGTTGCTCGTAAGAGGGCAATCGACAGATGGATAAGAACAATTTCAAGAACAATTATTGTCAGTTTTTTCTTTATCGCTTGGAGCGCATGAAAGAAAATCCCTATGATGTTCAGAGAACTTCGAGCGTTCCTAGGGAAGATAGAGACAGGAGGTAGGTTTTGGAATATTTCTTGAACTTCTGGAGATTATATGTTGTTGGGAATACTTCCTCAGGCAATGAATTGCAGAGCCTAGCCGTTCTATGGATGAAGGAGTTTTGATAAAGTGCTGTTCGACATCTTTCGAGGTTGACAACGAAAGGATGTGCTGACTGGGCTTGTTTAGTTCGTTTGACTGGTATTGCTAGTGAAGGGATGATAGCAGAGATTTCCGAAGCACATCTCCCGTGAAAGTATTGATAGAAAGGTGAAAAGTCACCGACCTTTCTACGGTGTTTTAATGATATTGAAGAGTGAGTGAGTGTGGCGTCACCCACCAGGCGAATGGCTCTTCTCTGGATGGAATCCAAGAGCATCAGCGTATGTTTTGGTGCTGAACCCCATATGTGGGAACAGTATTCTGGAACAGGCCAGACTGTATCTGCGCATTGTAGATCATGAGTAGCTGTTGAGGTGTAAAGTAGCTTTTCGCACGGAACAAGGATCCGACATTTTGTGAAGCAGCTTTTGCTATGGATCTTACATGATTATCCCATGAAAGAGTCTTGCTGATGAAAATACCGAGCATGACTATGGTGGGATTGGTGGGGATGGTGGTGCCAGATATTACAATATCGCCTTTCTAGAGAAAATACTGGCTTGAGTTTTGGTGGCGTTGTATTCAACTAGGTTGTTGGTTCCCCAGGCATTGATTTCAGCAAGGTTCTCATTGACAGCATTGACCTGCCTGCTCCGTGAGTTCTTAGTATTTATCTAGACAATATTTTTCAAATCAGGCACAGATGACTTACACTCATACAATAATAGAATTGTCAGTTTCATTCACATGGCGATACTTCTAAATACAACAATGATATAGGCGAAACAGTCTTGCAATATAATATTCAGCTTGTTTCAAACACATTAAATGTATTTATCTCCGCCAATTCCTGATTGAGAGTCATGATAATTATATGGATCACAGAATCTTTCAAGTGAATTAAAGGTTTTTGTATTCAACGGATCACAGGAATCCGGGGGTGTATAATTTTCTGACCAAAATTAAAGCATGCTGACCGCGCATTTCTGATTCGAATTTTCTCTTCAAATTGCATATTTGAATCTCTTATACAGATATATAGATGCAACCAGTAGAATTATCTCGATCCACTCTTTCAGACGGGTAGTTTATTTCTGCAGTTTTTCAAAAATTCTTGCTGACCGAGCATTTCTGATTCGAATTTTCCCTCCAAATTGCATCCCTGAAAGCACACGACGTCCTAGGGACGTCCCTATTTGGTACAATTCAAGTCCGAATGTCTCGAACCAAAAATAAGTGTCCTTGGGACGTCCCATCTCGTACATATCATGCAATGTCGGGGCAAGGACGTCCACAGAATGTCCTAGCTGGTACATCATTTCAAATGTCCTAGAAATAACATTCCTTAGACGTCCCACGTGGTACATATTGTAGAATGTCCATGCAAGGACGTCCTTGGCATGTCCCTAATAGGATATGATTTTAAACGTTCCTTTAGGGTCATCCATCGGATGTCCTGAGTAGTACATATTCTGGCCTGACTTCAGATCTCATATAATGTCTTTTCTGAAAAAACATGAAAAGTCCCTGATGGTACATTCCTTCAAATATCTCTGCACATACGCCCATAATATTTCCAGGATCGTAAGAAAATCGAAATGTCCCTGAGGGACATCCTTCGAATGTGCCTCAGGGATATCCATCGAATGTTCCAATTGGTACATGAATTGTACTCTTCCAATGTCCTAGAAATAACGTCCTATGGACGTCTCAGTCGGTACTTTCAATGTATTGTCCCTGCGAGGACGTTAACTTACACCTCGCCAATGAATGGTTGCTTGTAGGCTATAAGTACTCCTTGTCAATGTCCTCCACGTAAGTCCATTGGACATCCTTGGTAAACTCTTTGGGGACCTTCTACGGACCATCAACTCAAGTGGATGTCCTAATCAGTGATGCAAGATCTGGTCCTAGGGGGACCCAGGAAAATTCATATTCAAGAATAATTCGTACGTCCCTGGGACATTCTATGGACATCCAATTGATATCCCACAACGTTGTTGATAGGTTGTCCTATGGATGTCCTAAGGATGTCCTTCGTAGTGCTTGATGAGGAATACTGTATGATTTAGGTATTCGATAGTTGTCCCAGGGACATCCCTCAAGGACGTCCCTAGTTGGTCCTCAAGTGGGACATTTGTGCGCCCCACAGACGTCCAATGGACGTCCACGGTACCAAATTCAAACGTCCTATGGACGTTTTGAATGTCCCGACAGGACGTCCTAAGGATATCCATGGGACATAAGGGTGTTAATAGGATAATTTGAATATCTTGAATGAATGAATAGATGCCACCAGTAGAGTTAATTCGATCCAACCTTTCAGAGGGGTAGTTTATACCCGCAGTTTTTCAAAATTCCTTGCTGACCGAGCATTTCTGGTTCGTATTTTCAATTTTGGGAACCAAGCATTTCTTGGAACGTTAGATAGCAACAACCTTTTTTGCCTAGGCAGAGAAAGTACACCTTTCCTGCCTGTTAAGTGTCAAAGAGAAGCCACTCTCCCTGTCGCTTGAAGAAAAGAATAGTTTCAATCTGGGATCTTCGCAAAAATGTTAGGGGTACCGTAACTAATGAATTCAACATTTCCGATGTTCCATGGACATCATAGGAATTTCCTTTCGTGCGCATCAAGAGATAAAAATAAAAGATTATTCTTTTGGAACGGAGGAATTCCATCAGGCACAATTATGTTTATGAGACAGTTTTTTCAATATTGTACCATGAAATTTGCACGTCTCTTGATGGTTCGCTGAAATAGTAATATAGAATTTAACAAAAATCGCGTGTCATTTCCTCAATGTCTTATTTCAATGTGGTCAAAGGTTGAGGTAGCTTTCAATATGCTATTATTTAGCTACTATAATTTCATAACCGTCAATTTAGTTCCGAGAACACAAAATTACTATCATATCACAACCGGCCATCGAATTACGAATGAACTAATTTAACGGAACTGAATATGACTGAAATATTTTGTAATCCATTTTCTCGAATCAGATTTGCTTATTGTCAAACATCCATCAATGATACAAGGGGTGTTTAGAATATCAGATGCA